GTCCATGCAGTTTAATATATTCAGCTTCATACTTGCGTTTTGCCATGTCGTTGAGCTAGTTTGCTGTCTATGTTAAATTACTGTCTCTTGGTCACTCACTCCACAGCAGGAAACAGCACCTCTGTGCCAGACATTTACTGTATTTCTAAATAAAGTGTGTTTTTTACAAACTTGACACATTCACAAGTCACTTTAAGTCCATTGAGAATGGACCAACGACCCACCAGTTTTGAACCACTGCTTTCAATTACTATTCAGTAAAACTACACTTTCTCTTGGTATCTGCATTAACTAGTTTCCATGATGCATTTCTATAATCTAAACATTTCATGTGATGGTTTTGCAGAGTACTCTATACGTGCAATAACATCTGTACATATGTTTAGCACAGGAATCATTTTGTAATCATTAACCTTGTGATGGATGGATTGTTGCTGTGAGGACATGGTTGCAGCACTGCAGATGGCCTGATTCACAACCACAGTTGTTGATTGTAGCTTTCACAGGCAAAGCAGCCAACGTGTCTTTAGATAGAAATGTAAAATTTTTAGGTTTCTTTACTTCTATTAGACAGATAACTGATTATATTTGAGTTGTAGACAAAACAAGACATTTGAGGACGTCATTTTGGGCTTCAGTAAACACTGATCGACGTTTTTCCACCATTTTCAGACATTTTCTGAACCAAACAATTAATCGATTAATGCAGATACCAAGAGAAGGTGTAGTTTTACTGAATAGTAATTGAAAGTAGTGGTTTCAAACTGGTTTGTCGTTGGTCCATTCTCAATGGACTTAAAGTGACTTGTGAATGTGTCAAGTTTGTAAAAAAATTTCTGGCACAGAGGTGCCGTTTCCTGCTGTGGAGTGAGTGACCAAGAGACAGTAACTTAACATAAACAGCAAACTAGCTCAACGACATGGCAAAACGCAAGTATGAAGCTTAATATATTAAACTGCATGGACCTTAAACTGATGACTAAGAGAAATCTGGAGGGTGTGGGTGGACCAGTTGGGAACCACTGATGTAAAGGAGCATGCAGGCATATGTCATATGCTTGCATGTGACATATGCTTGCACTGACCACCCCACAGCCACACAATATTTGCTTTTCCAATTCCCAGAAAAACTTTTTCCAGGGTCCTGATTGGTCAAAAGTAACCTTGGGGGTGTGTTCAGCAGGTAAAGATTAGCGGGACCGTTCCATATAAACCAGGGCTCCAGGTGAAGTCTCTCATCGACAGGATCACACAGCAACCATGAGGTCTCTGGTCTTTGTTCTGCTCATCGGAGCTGCTTGTAAGAATGTCTTTCTGCTTGTGTTCATTAGTTCTAATCATTGAATTAAAAAAATGGTCACTTATTGCTGACTATTTGACCTCCAATGTATTTTCAGTTGCCACAGAGGACGACAAGATCGTCGGAGGGTATGAATGCAAGCCCTACTCCCAGCCCCATCAGGTGTCTCTGAACTCTGGCTACCACTTCTGTGGTGGCTCCCTGGTCAACGAGAACTGGGTTGTGTCTGCTGCTCACTGCTACAAGTCGTACGTCACATGCCTTATTATAAAGACCAGTGTTAATCTGCTTTTAAAAGGCATCATGAAACTAAGCTGCCACTAATCCTCTGTTTCCTCTCCAGCCGTGTGGAGGTGCGTCTTGGAGAGCACAACCTCAGAGTCACTNCTCCCAGCCCCATCAGGTGTCTCTGAACTCTGGCTACCACTTCTGTGGTGGCTCCCTGGTCAACGAGAACTGGGTTGTGTCTGCTGCTCACTGCTCCAAGTCGTAAGCACACTCTAGATATTTTTAGTGCATTTATCTGGTGCAAGACCAAAAAAAAACAAGAATCCATTTATTATCATCCACCATGTTTTATCTATTTCAGTCGCATTGAGGTGCGTTTGGGAGAGCACCACATCAGGAACACCGAGGGCACCGAGCAGTTCATCAGAGCTTCCCTTGTCATCGAGCACCCCGACTTCAGCCGCTACACCCTTCAGAATGACGTCATGCTCCTCAAACTGAGCACGCCTGCCACCCTCAACAGTTACGTGTGGCCTGTGGCTCTGCCCACCAGCTGTGCTCCCGCTGGCACCATGTGCAAAGTCTCCGGCTGGGGCAACACCATGAGCTCCAGTGAGTAAAAACACTCTGTGTCTAAATGTACATATGAAAAGACGTTGCCTGCTATCTCTAACAATCCATCCCCACTGCACACTTCCTTTTTGTTGTGTTGCTGCAGCCGCTGACAGCAACAGGCTGCAGTGTCTGGACATCCCCATCCTGTCTGATGAGGATTGTGAACGCTCCTACCCCGGCATGATTGACTACACCATGTTCTGTGCCGGATACCTGGAGGGCGGCAAGGACTCCTGCCAGGTGTGTATCTCTGATTTTCCACCACTGAGTTTACAGATTGGGCGCCACTTTTTCACTTCTCTGTGAACATTGTGAACATAATACTTCTCTCTCTGTCTCAGGGTGACTCTGGTGGCCCCGTCGTGTGCAACGGTGAGCTGCAGGGTGTTGTGTCCTGGGGCTACGGATGTGCTGAGAAGGACCACCCTGGTGTCTACGCCAAGGTAACCCTAAAATATCTCTTTATAATACATAATAAAGCTATTTGACAATGAAATTCCACATGCGTGACCAGTTATAATTAACCATACTCATTCTGTCTCCATTCACAGGTCTGCCTCTTCAACGACTGGCTGGAGCGCACCATGGCCAAGTATTAAGTCTGATCTTGCGATCACCATCATACTGTGCTGCCTTTCTGCTTTTATTCTAACTTCAGTATTTGTTGTAGAGTTTTTAGCAGTGGCACTGTTTAACATTTGAGTCAATAAAGTCTTACATCTTGACTTTTAAATGATGTTTGTCTCCTGTCTTCATACATCATGGTATCTTCATCACAATACTTTAAAATGCAACTTCATTTATCACACAGGTGTTCAACTGTTTCCTGCTCCTCAGGATACAGTAAAAACAAAGCAATTGGTGCTTATATTGTATCTACTATAAATACTGTGTTTTGACATCTAAAACGTCACTTACTCATCACTGCATTCTTTATGATTTGGTGGGTTGGACACCATTGACTATTCACAAGCAACAGCACTGGTATATTTTTATCTATAAAGCAATATTGGGCAAACCTCTGGACTACCTCTGCATCCTTCTGTGAGTCAGCTCTGGTAGTTACCAGCTACGCTTCTCCAAGTGGTTGCTTTTTAATGTACCCTGGGTTTTAAAAGATCTGGGGAAAACTGTACTCTCCTCCTGTTCACCTTAGACATGGAACAATCTTCAAAAAGATCTAAAATTTAAAAAAGAACTTATATCCATCAATGAATTCAAGGGCATCATAAAGAATGTGGTGACAGAGACATGTGCTTGTTTCTCTTTTGAGGCCACTATGTTTGAATAGACATTGCTTTATTGTGGACTTTTGTAATGTATGTTGTATTTGTTGCATTTTGGATGTGTTTTGATTGGCTGCTACCTCGGCCTGGTCTCTCTTATAAAAAAGATTTTCAATCACAAGGGGACTTCCTGGTTAAATAAAGGATAAATAAATAATATTAATGAATTAAAATTAATAAATAATTAACTAGTTTCCATGATGCATTTCTATAATCTAAACATTCCATGTGACATTTTTGCAGAGTACACTCTATACGTGGAATTGCATCTGTACGTTTAGCACAGGAATCATTTTGTGATTATTAACCATGTGATGGATGGATTGTTGCTGTGAGGACATGGTTACAGCACTGCAGATGGCCTGATTCACAACCACAGTTGTTGATTGTAGCTTTCACAGGCAAAGCAGTCAACGTGTCCTTAGATAGAAATGTAAATATTTTCAGGTTTCTTTACTTCTCTAGGACAGATAACTGATTATATTTGAGTTGTGGACAGAACAAGACATTTAAGAATGTCATCTTGGGCGTCAGTAAACACTGATCGACGTTTTGCCACCATTTTCTGACATTTTATAAACCAAACAACTAATCGATCAATGGAGAAAATAATCAACAGATTAATCATCAAGCAAAATAATCATTATCTGTGGGCATGGGACTGTTGGTCGGACAAAAGAAGCAATTCAAAGAGGTCTGGGAAATTGTGATCAGCATTTTTCATGTCATTTCTTTATGTTTTCTCGACTAAACGATTGATTAATTGTGAAAATATTTATCAGGTTAATCGCTAATAAAGAAGTTAGCTTCAGCCATATTTATGTTAATGAAAATCGATTTAATTCTAAAACTAAGCACATTGTATGTTTTTACTATGACAAGTTTGTCACTTAAACGTTTTTGTTTTTTATTTATTTAACCTTTATTTAACCAGGAAGTCCTGTTGTGATTGAAAATATATTTTACAAGAGAGCCCTGGCCGAGGTAGCAGCCAGTCAAAACACATCTAAAATGCAACAATACAAAAGTCCACAATAAAGCAACGTCTATTCAAACATAGTGGCCTCACAAGAAAAACAAGCACATGTCTCTGTCACCACATTCTTTATGACGCCCTTCAGTTCATCAATGGATATACGTCTTTTTTAAATTTAGATCTTTTTTTAAGATTGTTCCATGTCTAAGGTGAACAGCAGGAGAATGCAGTTTTCACCAGATCTGTTCAAACCCGGGTTGCATTAAAAACTACCAGAGCTGACTCACAGAAGGATGCAGAGGTAGTCCAGAGGTTTGCCCAATATTGCTTTAAAGATAAAAATACACCAGTGCTGTTGCTTGTGAATAGTCAATGGTGTCCAACCCACCAAATCATGAAGAATGCAGTGATGAGTAAGTGATGTTTTAGATGTCAAAACACATTATTTATAGTAGATACAATATAAGCACCAATTGCTTTGTTTTTACTGTATTCTGAAGAGCAGGAAACAGTTGAACACCTGTGTGATAAATGAAGTTGCATTTTAAAGTATTGTGATGAAGATACCATGATGTATGAAGACAGGAGACAAACATCATTTAAAAGTCAAGATGTAAGACTTTATTGACTCAAATGTAAAACAGTGCCACTGCTAAAAACTCTACAACAAATAATGATAGAAAGGCAGCACAGTACGATGGTGATCGCAAGATCAGACTTAATACTTGGCCATGGTGTGCTCCAGCCAGTCGTTGAAGATGCAGACCTGTGAATGGAGACAGAATGAGTATGGTTAATTATAACTGGTCACGCATGTGGAATTTCATTGTCAAATAGCTTTATTATGTATTATAAAGAGATATTTTAGGGTTACCTTGGCGTAGACACCAGGGTGGTCCTTCTCAGCACATCCGTAGCCCCAGGACACAACACCCTGCAGCTCACCGTTGCACACGACGGGGCCACCAGAGTCACCCTGAGAACACAGAGTGTATATGTGAAGAAAATTCCCAATGTTTTGGATTTGCAAATGAGACTGACCTAGAGCAAGAACCTCCGTAGAGTCCTCTTGTAACGTACCTGGCAAGAGTCCTTGCCTCCCTCCAGGTATCCAGCGCAGAACATGGCATCAGTGATCATGCCAGGGTAGGAGTTATCACAGTCCTCGAAGGACAGGATGGGGATGTCCAGGCACTGCAGCTTGTTCTTGTCAGCAGCTACGATGTGTAAAACAAAAGGGTTAGAATAACACAAATGTAAATGTTGCTCATAAACATTGTGTAACTGCTAGCTAAATTCAGGTGCTACTCACTGGAGCTCATGGTGTTGCCCCAGCCAGAGACTTTGCACATGGTGCCAGCAGGAGCACAGCTGGTGGGCAGAGCCACAGGCTGCACGTACTGGTTGAGGGTGGCGGGCTCGCTCAGCTTGATCAGCATGATGTCATTGTTGATGTTGTAGGAGCTGTACTCAGGGTGGCGGATGACACGGGAGGACCTGATGAACTGCTCTTTGCCCTCAGTGACTCTGAGGTTGTGCTCTCCAAGACGCACCTCCACACGGCTGGAGAGGAAACAGAGGATTAGTGGCAGCTTAGTTTCATGATGCCTTTTAAAAGCAGATTAACACTGGTCTTTATAATAAGGCATGTGACGTACGACTTGTAGCAGTGAGCAGCAGACACAACCCAGTTCTCGTTGACCAGGGAGCCACCACAGAAGTGGTAGCCAGAGTTCAGAGACACCTGATGGGGCTGGGAGTAGGGCTTGCACTCATACCCTCCGACGATCTTGTCGTCCTCCGTGGCAACTGAAAACACACAGGAGGTCAAATAGTCAGCAATAAGTGACCATTTTTTTAAATTATTTATTTAAGATATTTTTGGGGGCATTTTGCCTTTAATGGACAGGACAGCCAAATGTGAAAGGGGGAGAGAGAGAGAGAGAGAGAGAGAGAGAGAGGGGATGACACGCAGGAAAGGGCCACAGGCTGGACTCGAACCAGGGCCGCTGCGGCAACAGCCTTATACATGGGGCGCCTGCTCCATCCACCAAGCCTCCGACGCCCTAGTGACCATTTTTTTAATTCAGTGATTAGAAATAATGAACACAAGCAGAAAGACATTCTTACAAGCAGCTCCGATGAGCAGAACGAAGACCAGAGACCTCATGGTTGCTGTGTGATCCTGTCGATGAGAGATGTCACCTGGAGCCCTGGTTTATATGGAACGGACCCGCTAATCTTTACCTGCTGAACACACCCCCGAGGTTAATTTTGACCAATCAGGACCCTGGAAAAAGTTTTTCAGGGAATTGGAAAAGCAAATATTGTGTGGCTGTGGGGTGGTCAGTGCAAGCATACAGCATGGGAGGAGAATTGTTCTTGTAAATCTCCCAAGAAGCATGTTAAATGCCATTCATAATGGAGGGACATTGGGGAAACAAGCATTTAAAAAACTTAGTGTAGCAAATGTGTGCATTTTTCATGAAAAAGCCTTATTCATATGACATACGCCTGCATGTCCGTTAAATAAGTGGTTCCCAACTGGTCCAGATTTCTCTTGGTCATTAATTCAAGGTCCATGCAGTTTAATATATTCAGCGTCATACTTGGGTTTTGCTGTGTCGTTGAGCTAGCTTGCTGTTGATGTTAAGTTACTGTCTCTTGGTCACTCACTCCATAGCAGGAAATGGCACCTCTGTGCCAGAAATAAAGTGTGTTTTTTACAAAGCTGACACATTCACGAGTCAATTGCTGGCCATCCAGAATGGATCCGCTACCCACTTTTGAGCCACGATCCACCAGTTTGGAACCACTGCTTGAAATTACTATTCAGTAAAACTACACATTCTCTTGGTATCTGCATTAACTAGTTTCCATGATGCATTTCTGTAATCTAAACATTCCATGTGATGGTTTTGCAGAGTACACTCTATACGTGGAATAACATCTGTACATATGTTTAGCACAGGAATCATTTTGTGATCATTAACCTTGTGATGGATGGATTGTTGCTGTGAGGACATGGTTACAGCACTGCAGATGGCCTGATTCACAACCACAGTTGGCAAAGCAGCCAACATGTCTTTAGATAGAACGCGAGTTGATTCAGTGAAGTGAGAAGAGACAAACAGCTCCAAGAAACAAAATCACTTACTTGAACAATTACTGTATGAAATCGCCAGTAGGGACACTTCTGAGTGAATAAATTGTAAATGGGACTGCATTTTTGCGTTTGAGTGTCTTAAAAGTAATCAGATGGTGTTTTTTAAACATTGTTACAGTAAAAATGGAGTGAGAATTAAAATCAGTACAAAGAATTATAACTGACTGTGTAATAAAGAAAGAATCTGCACAGTCGCGCAGTCAGTTATCCTGATATCTGGGGTAAAATTCAGTGCAGCTCTGCTGTTCGGTGAGGTTTGAGTCAACCTGAGGTACATTCAGCTGTTTAGACGTTACAGAGGAGCAGCTGCAATTTCACGTGATAAATATGCATGAATCACATGAATATTTGTGGGAGATTAAGAAGAGCAGGTGCAGTCTGAAGATTCAAAATCCACAGAAGGATTTAGAGGGATTTAGAATCCACTACATACAGTGTTTTCTTAGTGAACGGTGGCATTTGTGATAGGATTTTTCCTCACATTTATAGAGGTGCTTAAACGACACTGTCTCAGTTATATTTTTAACCACACAGACGTCATTAGCAGTGACTGTGAAATGTCAAAAAGCAATCAAATAGGTTGTCAAACAGCAATTAGTAATGAGCAATGGGCTATGGTTTTCTTTTTTCTGTACTGTAATTACTCTGAGTTAAAGATAAAAATGAATGGAATTAATTTCATTATAAAATATACACCCAGTGAGTTTTGGTTATTATGTTCGGCTTGTTCTAGGTAAAGTGTTATGTACTGCTGATTATATCTTGGCTGCCTGCTCTGGTGCTGATCAGTGTCGGCCTTGACTAAAGGCTCTGTGTGAACAATCCAACTGCTTCAGCCATATTGAATTGATTATTATTTGACCACAGGCCTGCGAGACCTCGACTTATGGGTCACTCACCTGAAATGAACCGCCTACATCTGGTAGTAGTCCGTATCAAGTTTTTTTTTTTGATTGGCATTTATCGGACCAATCAGGCAGCTTGGAGTAGATATAAAAAGTGGATTCAGGTGAGCGGACAGTATCACACTGCAGCCATGAAGTCCCTGATCTTCGTTCTGCTCATCGGAGCCGCCTGTGAGTATGATGGAGTACTTCATGCATGGCGCACTTTGGTATACCTGCTATAGTGCAGCAAACTAATAACTCTATCTGGCTGTTTTACATTTGTTTTCAGTTGCCACCGAGGACGACAAGATCGTCGGAGGGTATGAGTGCACTCCTCACTCCCAGCCCCATCAGGTGTCTCTGAACTCTGGCTACCACTTCTGTGGTGGCTCCCTGGTCAACGAGAACTGGGTTGTGTCTGCTGCTCACTGCTCCAAGTCGTAAGCACACTCTAGATATTTTTAGTGCATTTATCTGGTGCAAGACCAAAAAAAAACAAGAATCCATTTATTATCATCCACCATGTTTTATCTATTTCAGTCGCATTGAGGTGCGTTTGGGAGAGCACCACATCAGGAACACCGAGGGCACCGAGCAGTTCATCAGAGCTTCCCTTGTCATCGAGCACCCCGACTTCAGCCGCTACACCCTTCAGAATGACGTCATGCTCCTCAAACTGAGCACGCCTGCCACCCTCAACAGTTACGTGTGGCCTGTGGCTCTGCCCACCAGCTGTGCTCCCGCTGGCACCATGTGCAAAGTCTCCGGCTGGGGCAACACCATGAGCTCCAGTGAGTAAAAACACTCTGTGTCTAAATGTACATATGAAAAGACGTTGCCTGCTATCTCTAACAATCCATCCCCACTGCACACTTCCTTTTTGTTGTGTTGCTGCAGCCGCTGACAGCAACAGGCTGCAGTGTCTGGACATCCCCATCCTGTCTGATGAGGATTGTGAACGCTCCTACCCCGGCATGATTGACTACACCATGTTCTGTGCCGGATACCTGGAGGGCGGCAAGGACTCCTGCCAGGTGTGTATCTCTGATTTTCCACCACTGAGTTTACAGATTGGGCGCCACTTTTTCACTTCTCTGTGAACATTGTGAACATAATACTTCTCTCTCTGTCTCAGGGTGACTCTGGTGGCCCCGTCGTGTGCAACGGTGAGCTGCAGGGTGTTGTGTCCTGGGGCTACGGATGTGCTGAGAAGGACCACCCTGGTGTCTACTCCAAGGTAACATTTCACTGCAACAACTAAAAATATAACCATCACCCACTTTAATGCGGCAAACTTACTTGTATCTGTCTTCATTTTCAGGTGTGTGTGCAGACTGACTGGCTGCTTGAGACAATGGCCAGCTATTAACTCCACATCCAACCTCCACATCAGACACACATTGGCTGTCTGAATAGCATCTTGTCTTTGCTGGAGTCAAATGAAAGAAATAAAGTGTCTGAAATTACTCGTTGGGTCTTCTGTGCAATTATTGTGTTATTTCTATTAGAAGGTATTCGTCCAATTAATGCAATTATTAACACAATAAATGACAATCTATGGAGTTTCCAGCAGGTTACAGAGGTCAGAATTTCCTCTTAAGTGAACAGGGAAGTAAATAAAGAAATAAATAAAAAAAATTAAAATGTATCCACTGGTCATGGGCTGATATTACTGACACATATATATTCCTATAAACACTATTTATTATATTCTAAATTAATCATCACTTCACCATCTCATGTATCACCATATGAACAAATACTTTTTTCACCAACACAACAGTGGTGCCATTTAATATTATAAATGTGAGACCATCAGTACTGGTAAAATATGAATTTGTTTTTTTCCACTCGAGTAGGCTTTATATGCCCAACATGGACTGAGAGAAAAAACAAATTAACTGTATTCTAAATTATATCTGTCCTGTGAAACAACATGCCTGAGTTCCTCAGCATGGCAGAGTCCACATCATCTTTAAGTCACTTTTCAAAATACATTTGTGTCATTAGGTGTTTCTATAATAAGTTTTCATGTTAACTTGTTTTGTCATTTTTTGCCTTGTGTCTTATTTCCAATATTTATTCACTTTGTAATGTGCTGTTGGCATGAGTCTGTGTCACCTCTCTTTCTCCCTACTTCTGCTTTTTATTTATACATACACTACAAGATATCACGTTATCTTGTTGTAAAATGTTTCCACTAGTGGAGGAATGTAACTAAGTATGTTTACTCCAGTACTATACTAAAGTACAATGGTGATGTACTCAAGTGCTTTTCCATTCATGCTACGAATGCACTGCCTTTTATTTTGTAATGTTGGTCAAATTTAAACAATATTATATGAACATTATAAACAGAAATGTTCAGAGAAGGTTTGTGTAAAACAAAATTAAGCGTACTTTGTCACTCTTAACCAGCATTTTTATCGATTGGTGGCGTATGTGAAACAGTATTTCATTTTTATGTGGAGCATAAAAATGACAAATAAATTAATCAGAATCTGACCCTGACCGAAGCACAGAGGTCTGTCAGTGCTCAGCTGAGCTGTGGCATCTTGCCTCTGGCAGTGGAAACTGGACGCTCCCTCTCAATTCCAGAGGGAACTAGAAAGTGTCATCTGTGTGATGTGGGAGAGGTTGAAAATGAAATCCACGTTTTGCTCTGTTGTCCTTTAACATAGTGATTGTAGTTTGAGGCTTTTCCCTAGAATGTCTGCAGCATGAAGGTAGACTTCAGTACCTGTTTACAGAGTGTTTCACCTATAGCTCAGCTTGTGTTTAAGGCACCAGCAGTGTAGGAGGGCGCTTTATGTTTGATGTGTTGCAGACACAGACGGTGCCTCAGATGTGCCTGAGTTATGTTGTGCAGCAGTGATGTCTGAGGAGCAGGATTGTGTTCTTACCTGCTTTGACTTTGTTTGACATTGTTTGACATGCACCGAGGTGGATTATATTCTTTTGTTGCTGCTCTTGTTTTTGTTGTTTGTTGTGTCTTGTAAGCCCATGCTGGCTGGGACGACACTTGGAAATATAAATTACCTTACCTTACCTTACCTTGATGCCTGTATTTCATTGCATTGCAAAGACAAGTATTCTGCTTTTTTAGTCAGTGGAAGTGGCTCATGATCTTCCCCCACAGCCACAACTTACCCCCACTGGACTTAAATGAATAGTCAATAGAGACTCAGGGACTTTTTACTTTATTTATTTCCATTGGCACCTTATTTATTGTTGGATGGGTATAGTTGCTTATAAAAACAGTTAACCTAAGAATTGCAGTGCATTATGAAAAAGTTAAGGCCATGTGTACCCACACAGGTGTTTTCAGTTATGTGGCTGATTAGCCATATCCAGGCTGAAGTTGTGTAAAGCTGTGCTTTGGGTTACATGAGGTCACCATGTGCTAACAAAAAGGATAAAGCTGTAACTTGTCCTACAAGAAAACCAACTTGTGTACAAAAGGCTATCATTGTTTGGGACCTCCGGGGTTCCGTAGTTCAGTACTCTGAAATGTACCTTTTTTATTTTGATACTTTAAGTTAATTTTTTGTGGTAACACTCAACTACTTTTACTCAAGTACAAGAAAGATCCAGCTCACTGCTCCCGCTCAGCATCACAATTTGTTTGTCATACTAATGTTTCAGTCCCTCTGGACTAGATCGAGGCAACCTGTGGCTCTTTAGCTCTTCTCCAGTGGCTCCCCGTGGCTTTGACAAAAAAATATATATGACAATGAATATTTTTATTTATTATAGTTTTTAAGTGATATTTCGTCAACTAAAATATGCGTCCTACGCTCATGGTGCAGTACATTTTCCTCTAATTTGTTTGCTTTCACCACCAATGCTGCAAAGTACTAAATAATCAAGTAGTCCCCTGCAGAACAGCCACCTTCTGCAAAACACATTAATTAATGCTCATGTAGATCAGTAGGCTAATTTAGACCTAATAGGGTGTGTTTCCTTCATTATAAGGCTTAATTATGAGGCTCCACGTGGATTTTGGGGGTGTATGTTGTACCAAAAAAAATGGCTCTTCTCATAGTAAAGGCTGCTGACCCCTGCTCCTAACCGTCGTCAGGAGTACTTTAGTTACTTTTAAGTTAATTTTTCCCTGATTTTCTTTTTAAATTAAACGTTTTTTATCTATTCTGTCAAATCTGAACAAACCGACAGTACTGTTATTGGAACTCAACATATCCCACATTGTTACAGTTCAACAGACATGTTACAATCAAAAAAGCCTGCCCATGACCTCTTAAAGCTTTCAAATTAATTGCTGATCCTTGCAAACGTGTTCGTATGAAACAGTTTCTAACATAGATTCATTCCATATTTCAAAATCTGGAGGTGATGTACTCTTCCAGAATTTGAGGATAACTTGAGCAGCTGTGTCGACCCCTACATTTATCACAATAAGGTCATATTTTTAAAAATATTCAGTAATTCTGTTTGGTCCCCCATAAGACTTCCCTATGTGGTCCACAACTTTTTCCCAAAATGAGTTAACCAGTTTCCCAGATTGCATGTAGAGTTTCTACATTTCCTGTCTGACATTTCCAACATAAATTGTGAGCCAGTAGAAGTAAAGTGGAACCTATGACTTAATTTATACTGAGTAAATTTCCCCCTTGCCTCCTTTATATATTTCCCAGTTTTCAATAGTATTTTCAACCATTCAGTTTTTCCCTTTGCCACTTTTTTGCAGAACTTATGACAAAATATTTTTTAAATTGTCCTTTCAAAAAATATTACAAAGATCATCATTTGTTTTCCAAGGCAGCATGACCCCTCATATCTGGGTTTAATCTTCAGGTAACAGGTGCTGAGAAACACACAGCTGTGAGATACTGTGTTCGCATGTGTCTAAATATAGAGGTGACTTGTGTACCTGTGCACTCTGACCAGATAAACATGAGCCAGCTTTCAGGTGGTGGATTCAAACCTCTACCGAAATAAAATAATCCAGTAAAAATCCTGCGTTCAAATCTTTAAACTAAGTATGAGAATTACTCATTGTGACAAATGGTCCCCTTGCAGACTCGCAGTTTAATCATTGAGGTTTTCATATAGAGATGAGCTGGACAAAGTGCTTCTGACTCAAACTCCATACACCGCTTAATAGCCATAAATCATATTTGAGAGGGAGATCATTTATTTTGCATCCAAACCATAATTATACTGAGTAACTCCAGCTGAAAGATTAACAAAGAGGATTGAAAAACACTTTTTCTCTGAAATGGAATTGAGTAATATGACGTATAAAAACTGTAGGACTATCACTGCTCCTCAAAACTGCACGTAAATACCATGTACTTACTCCTAGGTATTAACTAGTATGGAAATGTTTAACCTCTCTGTCATCGTCAGGATTAAAGACACACCTAATATTAATAAAACAATTAATTGGGCTGTCAGTGGTGATTTTATAAGTCGTGTGGCCATGAAGGAACATGAAGTAATGATTCACTTTAACACGACATTGTCTAGATATTGTGTTTTTAATTGTAGTGTATTGAAGTGATAAACGCATAATACAGGAGCCAATATGATCCATAGTCTTAACTCTCCCTCATGGTTTTCCAAATTTGCTGACATGAAATCTATCCTTGTTTATCATGCTTTCAAAGAAAGGTGTTTTTTTTAATGTGTAATTCTGGAAATCGAACCCCAACATCCCACGATAGAGATTGGTCCCTCGCTGACCAATGAGGGCGGCCGGAGAGCAGGGCAGCTCTCCTGACTTCGGATATAAACCAGGGCTCCAGGCGAAGTCCTCTCATCGACAGGATCACACAGCAACCATGAGGTCTCTGGTCTTCGTTCTGCTCATCGGAGCTGCCTGTGAGTGTGAAGTTCTTATCGAGCAGATTGCCTTCCTGTCTGCTAACAGTCTGTTGGCCTTTATCCCAGAACTTTATCCAGAATAACAGCATCTCCCCACAGCGAGGGTTTTGAATTAGAGAGCAGCTGATTGATCTCCAAGCATCCTCAGTACTCAGACTAAAAATGCGCACTTTGGGGTTTGACTAAAAATACACAAAAGGACATTCTGCATTCAAAAAGACGTCTGTGTTGTGTTGCTGCAACTTTTTGTCGAGTACTTAAAGCAAACAACTAACTTGTTGCTGACGTGTGTGTTTTCAGTTGCCACCGAGGACGACAAGATCGTCGGAGGGTATGAGTGCACTCCTTACTCCCAGGCCCATCAGGTGTCCCTGAACTCCGGCTACCACTTCTGTGGCGGCTCCCTGGTCAGCGCAAACTGGGTTGTGTCTGCTGCTCACTGCTACAAGTCGTAAGCACACTCTTTGTGTTTTCCAGGGTTAAAGGTCTGATTTTATAATAAAAACCTTTATTTATAGAACC